CACCAGCTAGGGTTACTACAGCCAAGACTCGAATCAGCAGAACAAGGCGAATTCGCCGCATTGGTTAATACCACAGTGTCTAGAGAAACACAAAAAAAGGCTAAGTTTTATGAGAGTCCTAATAAAAGTGGGATTTGTATCCTACGAGATTTAAATAAATAGGGGAAGAAATACAACCCTTATCAAATACGTATTAAAACAAAGAAAAATAATTACCCACAACATCCTTTAGACAAATTTTAACAATTTTTTACGACTTACCTCATTAATTGAATATTTTTTTGTAATAATATATGTATATATATATATATATATATATATATATATATATATATATATTGAAATAATAGTGAAGATTAATAATTTATCTAATTGAGTATGGGCCAATTTCTTGCTTATTACATATTAACATTTACGTTTTTCACAGTTTGTAAAGTTGTTCTCCAAAAACTATTAGTCTTGCTAATTCTAAAAAAAAATATTTTCAAATTGAAAGCACAAAAATAAATAAACAAACATTAGAAAACATCTGATTGAATGTCGATGAATGAGAAGAAGAAGATTTGCAAGTGATTGCAAGAAGAAATTTGTCCAGCTAGAATTTGCAAACTCTCACTGAAAGAACTGTCAAAATTTCTCTCTCCAACCGCTCTCTTTTGCAGAACTTTCGGGTTAACAGACGACTTCCAGTAACAATTTGTAACAATTGTTACAAATTTTAGGTTAACCAGACACACCTATTCATGAGTTACAACAAATAAAACAAGCTTTTGTCAAATGTTTTATTGTTATGTGTGATCGATATGTCATTGTTCGAGTTGTGTAGTTAGTGTGACGAGTAAGGTAACGTGCCACATACCGCAATTATAAACATACAATTGAATAACAAGTAAAAAAGCTGTAAGTTCGCCCGGGCCGAACTTTTAATACCCTCCACCATTTGGTACAAATTTGGCAATTTCCAAAAAATAAAATCCGTTAAAAATTCTGTTAAAATCGTAAAAATACCGAATGCTTATACGACGACGTGGGCCTCCATAGGCAACTTTTGTCATAAGTTATTACAATATTTAAATGCGAAACTTGAAGAAAAATCTGTTTATAATGTAGCTAAAATCATCACAATACCGAATATGGGGGGTACCGTTATATGGGGGCTATACGAAGACGTGGACCTGCACAGACAATTTTCTGGCATGGGCTGAAGTATGCATTACGAACTTCACGTGCGAAATTTGAAACAATCCCGGTAAATAATGTCGCTAAAATCATCAAAATACCGAATATCGGGGGGGGGGGGGGGGGGATGGGTACGGTATATGGGGGCTATATGAAGACGTGGACCTACATGGCTCATTTTTCGACTTAGTATGTAGTATCTATAACGAACTTCAAGTATCAAATTTGAAACGATTCCGGTAAATTATGTCGCTAAAATCATCAAAATACCGAATATCGGGGGGTACCGTTATATGGGGGCTACACGAAGACGTGGATCTGCACAGATAATTTTCTGTCTTAGGCTGTAGTATCCATTACGAACTTTAAATGCCAAATTTGAAACAATTCCGGCGAATAATGTCGCTAAAATCATCAAAATACCGAATATCGGGAGGTACCGTTATATGGGGGCTATATGATAACTTGGACCTACATGGCTCATTTACGAACTTATCCTGCCTACTGGCAAAATATACATGTGTGCAAAATTTTAGCCTTTCTATCTTAATTTGTTCGAAAGATAGCGTGATTACAACAGACAGACAGACGGACATGGCTAGATCGTCTTAGAATTTTACGCTGATCAACAATATATATACTTTGTTGGGTCTGACATGAGTATTTCGAGGAGTTACAAACGGAATGACAAAATCAATATACCCTCCATAGTATGGTGGAGGGTATAAAAAATAAAACTAATAGGAAGAAATTAATAAAAATAAAACATAGTTAAAAATGACATAAATCAACAACATAGAAAAATTAATAATATTAATATTTCTCTTAAAGTTTAAAAGATAAACGTTTATTGAGAAAATAAGAATATACACTACAAACACATTTGAAAATTTTATTCAAGTTCATTTATTTCTAAATTTAAAAATAAATTGATAGTTGAAGTGATTGTATATTCCAAATTAATAAAATTCAAAAATAATTGTTAAAATATCAATATTATGTAAAGGTTAATATAATAAATTTGTTGCGGGCCCCTGAAACCGGCTCTGCAGACGGAAAAAACGGCGTGGAAAGGCCTTAAGGCGAGACCTTTTTACTTTTTTTACGGCTGTGGCGGTCTCCAGAACCACATTTAGGATAATATATTTAGCTCCCAAATGTTGTGCGTACTAGGGGGAGCTCAATTATTAATGAAATAGGGCATTGAGTTTGGGTGACCATAGAATGGTGGTATGGTCAGCCGGCCCAGAAAATATTGTTGGTCGGTGGTTAATTGAATTATGGTGAAGTGCCTGTTGTTTAATGAGCAAATGAGCGTGGCCACTGCAAATTTCCTTAGACGGAAAAAGCATTTCCTGAAAATAAAAGAAAAAAATAATTAATAAATATATGAAAAGACTAACAAACCAGAACGATACAATTGTTACTGACACGAACTGAGAATCAGCTGTTGGGAAATAGTCGTACATGCACTGCGGATTGATAGCAAGAGAAATAAAGAGTAGATAAGTATAAAGTAGGGACACGTTATTACCAACAGGGTAGCCACAGTCTCTTAGAGAGCAATTTGGTAAGAACCTGTCTCTTACCAATTTGAGCAAATGTAAAATGGTATTCACATTAGAAAGGGACAATTTAAATAAATTTAGAGAAGGATGAAGGCATATAGCCTTACAAAAAGTCTATTCGTGGAAAGCGGCGGCTGCGTACTCCAAAAGGTATAAATGGGGGTGGAACATGAGAGAGGTTAAGAGTCAAAAAATGGTGTTAAACACAGTAACCTTTCATTACAAAAAAAAAAATAAATAATAGTGAAGTTTTAACCTAAGAAAAAAGTGATAATAATTTATAGAGGCTTTAAATATTATATTTTAACATCATTAAAAGGTATTTAATTATTTTTTTGTGGAAGAAGAGAAAAGTGAAAGAAACTGAATAGACTTATTTTTAACTAGGTGAAAATGGAGATCAGGAATTATAAAGAGCTTCGTTATCCAGTGAATTTAAACAAAAATTATATAAAGAGCAGAAGTTATAAAGGTAATGTTTGAAGATGTAGATTTACTCAGAAAGAAACGATATTGAATCAATTTTTTTGGAATAGGCGAGCTTTCCGTATTTCATCTGGTAAGCCGACCAAAAAATAAACTGTGACTACAGCGGTATCTGTGAGGGGAAATGGTAACATTCTTACCCCAGACATCATCCAGAAATAAAAAGGTAGGAAATAAAAATTCCCAGTATATGCTAAAGATAATCTGCCCGACTGCCACCTATGGGCCCGAATCATTGTCTATACTGAGCCTACAAACTCCCTGTTCAACACCAGCTAGGGTTACTACAGCCAAGACTCGAATCAGCAGAACAAGGCGAATTCGCCGCATTGGTTAATACCACAGTGTCTAGAGAAACACAAAAAAAGGCTAAGTTTTATGAGAGTCCTAATAAAAGTGGGATTTGTATCCTACGAGATTTAAATAAATAGGGGAAGAAATACAACCCTTATCAAATACGTATTAAAACAAAGAAAAATAATTACCCACAACATCCTTTAGACAAATTTTAACAATTTTTTACGACTTACCTCATTAATTGAATATTTTTTTGTAATAATATATGTATATATATATATATATATATATATATATATATATATATATATATATATATATATATATATATATATATATATATATATATATATATATATATATATATATATATTGAAATAATAGTGAAGATTAATAATTTATCTAATTGAGTATGGGCCAATTTCTTGCTTATTACATATTAACATTTACGTTTTTCACAGTTTGTAAAGTTGTTCTCCAAAAACTATTAGTCTTGCTAATTCTAAAAAAAAATATTTTCAAATTGAAAGCACAAAAATAAATAAACAAACATTAGAAAACATCTGATTGAATGTCGATGAATGAGAAGAAGAAGATTTGCAAGTGATTGCAAGAAGAAATTTGTCCAGCTAGAATTTGCAAACTCTCACTGAAAGAACTGTCAAAATTTCTCTCTCCAACCGCTCTCTTTTGCAGAACTTTCGGGTTAACAGACGACTTCCAGTAACAATTTGTAACAATTGTTACAAATTTTAGGTTAACCAGACACACCTATTCATGAGTTACAACAAATAAAACAAGCTTTTGTCAAATGTTTTATTGTTATGTGTGATCGATATGTCATTGTTCGAGTTGTGTAGTTAGTGTGACGAGTAAGGTAACGTGCCACATACCGCAATTATAAACATACAATTGAATAACAAGTAAAAAAGCTGTAAGTTCGCCCGGGCCGAACTTTTAATACCCTCCACCATTTGGTACAAATTTGGCAATTTCCAAAAAATAAAATCCGTTAAAAATTCTGTTTAAATCTTAAAAATACCGAATGCTTATACGACGACGTGGGCCTCCATAGGCAACTTTTGTCATAAGTTATTACAATATTTAAATGCGAAACTTGAAGAAAAATCTGTTTATAATGTAGCTAAAATCATCACAATACCGAATATGGGGGTACCGTTATATGGGGGCTATACGAAGACGTGGACCTGCACAGACAATTTTCTTGCATGGGCTGAAGTATCCATTACGAACTTCACATGCGAAATTTGAAACAATCCCGGTAAATAATGTCGCTAAAGTCATCAAAATACCGAATATCGGGAGGTACCGTTATATGGGGGCTATATGATAACTTGGACCTACATGGCTCATTTACGAACTTAACCTGCCTACTGGGAGCTACGTATTAAAACAAAGAAAAATAATTACCCACAACATCCTATATATATATATATATAGATATATATATAGGTTCTTACCAAATTGCTCTCTAAGAGACTGTGGCTACCCTGTTGGTAATAACGTATCCCTACTTTATACTTATCTACTCTTTATTTCTCTTGCTATCAATCCGCAGTGAATGTACGACTATTTCCCAACAGCTGATTCTCAGTTCGTGTCAGTAACAATTGTATCGTTCTGGTTTGTTAGTCTTTTCATATATTTATTAATTATTTTTTTCTTTTATTTTCAGGAAATGCTTTTTCCGTCTAAGGAAATTTGCAGTGGCCACGCTCATTTGCTCATTAAACAACAGGCACTTCACCATAATTAAATTAACCACCGACCAACAATATTTTCTGGGCCGGCTGACCATACCACCATTCTATGGTCACCCAAAATCAATGCCCTATTTCATTAATAATTGAGCTCCGCCTAGTACGCACAACATTTGGGAGGGGCCCGCAACAAATTTATTATATTAACCTTTACATAATATTGATATTTTAACAATTATTTTTGAATTTTATTAATTTGGAATATACAATCACTTCAACTTTCAATTTATTTATAAATTTAGAAATAAATGAACTTGAATAAAATTTTCAAATGTGTTTGTAGTGTATATTCTTATTTTCTCAATAAACGTTTATCTTTTAAACTTTAAGAGAAATATTAATATTATTAATTTTTCTATGTTGTTGATTTATGTCATTTTTAACTATGTCTTATTTTCATTAATTTCTTCCTATTAGTTTTATTTTTTATACCCTCCACCATACTATGGAGGATATATTGATTTTGTCATTCCGTTTGTAACTCCTCGAAATACTCATGTCAGAGTATCTTCTAAGACGATTTAGCCATGTCCGTCTGTCTGTCTGTTGTAATCACGCTATCTTTCGAACAAATTGAGATAGAAGGCTAAAATTTTGCACACATGTATATTTTGCCAGTAGGCAGGTTAAGTTCGTAAATGAGCCATGTAGGTCCAAGTTATCATATAGCCCCCATATAACGGTACCTCCCGATATTCGGTATTTTGATGACTTTAGCGACATTATTTACCGGGATTGTTTCAAATTTCGCATGTGAAGTTCGTAATGGATACTTCAGCCCATGCAAGAAAATTGTCTGTGCAGGTCCACGTCTTCGTATAGCCCCCATATAACGGTACCCCCATATTCGGTATTGTGATGATTTTAGCTACATTATAAACAGATCCATTAGGCTGAAGTATCCATTACGAACTTCACATGCGAAATTTGAAACAATCCCGGTAAATAATGGGAACCAAGATATATATATATATATATATATATATATATATATATATATATATATATATATATATATATATATATATATATATATATATATATATATATATATGTATATATATAAATATATATATATATATATATATATATATATATGGGGGTACCGTTATATGGGGGCTATACGAAGACGTGGACCTGCACAGACAATTTTCTTGCATGGGCTGAAGTATCCATTACGAACTTCACATGCGAAATTTGAAACAATCCCGGTAAATAATGTCGCTAAAGTCATCAAAATACCGAATATCGGGAGGTACCGTTATATGGGGGCTATATGATAACTTGGACCTACATGGCTCATTTACGAACTTAACCTGCCTACTGGCAAAATATACATGTGTGCAAAATTTTAGCCTTCTATCTCAATTTGTTCGAAAGATAGCGTGATTACAACAGACAGACAGACGGACATGGCTAAATCGTCTTAGAAGATACTCTGACATGAGTATTTCGAGGAGTTACAAACGGAATGACAAAATCAATATATCCTCCATAGTATGGTGGAGGGTATAAAAAATAAAACTAATAGGAAGAAATTAATGAAAATAAGACATAGTTAAAAATGACATAAATCAACAACATAGAAAAATTAATAATATTAATATTTCTCTTAAAGTTTAAAAGATAAACGTTTATTGAGAAAATAAGAATATACACTACAAACACATTTGAAAATTTTATTCAAGTTCATTTATTTCTAAATTTATAAATAAATTGAAAGTTGAAGTGATTGTATATTCCAAATTAATAAAATTCAAAAATAATTGTTAAAATATCAATATTATGTAAAGGTTAATATAATAAATTTGTTGCGGGCCCCTCCCAAATGTTGTGCGTACTAGGCGGAGCTCAATTATTAATGAAATAGGGCATTGATTTTGGGTGACCATAGAATGGTGGTATGGTCAGCCGGCCCAGAAAATATTGTTGGTCGGTGGTTAATTTAATTATGGTGAAGTGCCTGTTGTTTAATGAGCAAATGAGCGTGGCCACTGCAAATTTCCTTAGACGGAAAAAGCATTTCCTGAAAATAAAAGAAAAAAATAATTAATAAATATATGAAAAGACTAACAAACCAGAACGATACAATTGTTACTGACACGAACTGAGAATCAGCTGTTGGGAAATAGTCGTACATTCACTGCGGATTGATAGCAAGAGAAATAAAGAGTAGATAAGTATAAAGTAGGGATACGTTATTACCAACAGGGTAGCCACAGTCTCTTAGAGAGCAATTTGGTAAGAACCTATATATATCTATATATATATATATATAGGATGTTGTGGGTAATTATTTTTCTTTGTTTTAATACGTAGCTCCCAGTAGGCAGGTTAAGTTCGTAAATGAGCCATGTAGGTCCAAGTTATCATATAGCCCCCATATAACGGTACCTCCCGATATTCGGTATTTTGATGACTTTAGCGACATTATTTACCGGGATTGTTTCAAATTTCGCATGTGAAGTTCGTAATGGATACTTCAGCCCATGCAAGAAAATTGTATGTGCAGGTCCACGTCTTCGTATAGCCCCCATATAACGGTACCCCCATATTCGGTATTGTGATGATTTTAGCTACATTATAAACAGATTTTTCTTCAAGTTTCGCATTTAAATATTGTAATAACTTATGACAAAAGTTGCCTATGGAGGCCCACGTCGTCGTATAAGCATTCGGTATTTTTAAGATTTAAACAGAATTTTTAACGGATTTTATTTTTTGGAAATTGCCAAATTTGTACCAAATGGTGGAGGGTATTAAAAGTTCGGCCCGGGCGAACTTACAGCTTTTTTACTTGTTATTCAATTGTATGTTTATAATTGCGGTATGTGGCACGTTACCTTACTCGTCACACTAACTACACAACTCGAACAATGACATATCGATCACACATAACAATAAAACATTTGACAAAAGCTTGTTTTATTTGTTGTAACTCATGAATAGGTGTGTCTGGTTAACCTAAAATTTGTAACAATTGTTACAAATTGTTACTGGAAGTCGTCTGTTAACCCGAAAGTTCTGCAAAAGAGAGCGGTTGGAGAGAGAAATTTTGACAGTTCTTTCAGTGAGAGTTTGCAAATTCTAGCTGGACAAATTTCTTCTTGCAATCACTTGCAAATCTTCTTCTTCTCATTCATCGACATTCAATCAGATGTTTTCTAATGTTTGTTTATTTATTTTTGTGCTTTCAATTTGAAAATATTTTTTTTTAGAATTAGCAAGACTAATAGTTTTTGGAGAACAACTTTACAAACTGTGAAAAACGTAAATGTTAATATGTAATAAGCAAGAAATTGGCCCATACTCAATTAGATAAATTATTAATCTTCACTATTATTTCAATATATATATATATATATATATATATATATATATATATATATATATATATATATATATATATACATATATTATTACAAAAAAATATTCAATTAATGAGGTAAGTCGTAAAAAATTGTTAAAATTTGTCTAAAGGATGTTGTGGGTAATTATTTTTCTTTGTTTTAATACGTATTTGATAAGGGTTGTATTTCTTCCCCTATTTATTTAAATCTCGTAGGATACAAATCCCACTTTTATTAGGACTCTCATAAAACTTAGCCTTTTTTTGTGTTTCTCTAGACACTGTGGTATTAACCAATGCGGCGAATTCGCCTTGTTCTGCTGATTCGAGTCTTGGCTGTAGTAACCCTAGCTGGTGTTGAACAGGGAGTTTGTAGGCTCAGTATAGACAATGATTCGGGCCCATAGGTGGCAGTCGGGCAGATTATCTTTAGCATATACTGGGAATTTTTATTTCCTACCTTTTTATTTCTGGATGATGTCTGGGGTAAGAATGTTACCATTTCCCCTCACAGATACCGCTGTAGTCACAGTTTATTTTTTGGTCGGCTTACCAGATGAAATACGGAAAGCTCGCCTATTCCAAAAAAATTGATTCAATATCGTTTCTTTCTGAGTAAATCTACATCTTCAAACATTACCTTTATAACTTCTGCTCTTTATATAATTTTTGTTTAAATTCACTGGATAACGAAGCTCTTTATAATTCCTGATCTCCATTTTCACCTAGTTAAAAATAAGTCTATTCAGTTTCTTTCACTTTTCTCTTCTTCCACAAAAAAATAATTAAATACCTTTTAATGATGTTAAAATATAATATTTAAAGCCTCTATAAATTATTATCACTTTTTTCTTAGGTTAAAACTTCACTATTATTTATTTTTTTTTTTTTTGTAATGAAAGGTTACTGTGTTTAACACCATTTTTTGACTCTTAACCTCTCTCATGTTCCACCCCCATTTATACCTTTTGGAGTACGCAGCCGCCGCTTTCCACGAATAGACTTTTTGTAAGGCTATATGCCTTCATCCTTCTCTAAATTTATTTAAATTGTCCCTTTCTAATGTGAATACCATTTTACATTTGCTCAAATTGGTAAGAGACAGGTTCTTACCAAATTGCTCTCTAAGAGACTGTGGCTACCCTGTTGGTAATAACGTGTCCCTACTTTATACTTATCTACTCTTTATTTCTCTTGCTATCAATCCGCAGTGCATGTACGACTATTTCCCAACAGCTGATTCTCAGTTCGTGTCAGTAACAATTGTATCGTTCTGGTTTGTTAGTCTTTTCATATATTTATTAATTATTTTTTTCTTTTATTTTCAGGAAATGCTTTTTCCGTCTAAGGAAATTTGCAGTGGCCACGCTCATTTGCTCATTAAACAACAGGCACTTCACCATAATTCAATTAACCACCGACCAACAATATTTTCTGGGCCGGCTGACCATACCACCATTCTATGGTCACCCAAACTCAATGCCCTATTTCATTAATAATTGAGCTCCCCCTAGTACGCACAACATTTGGGAGCTAAATATATTATCCTAAATGTGGTTCTGGAGACCGCCACAGCCGTAAAAAAAGTAAAAAGGTCTCGCCTTAAGGCCTTTCCACGCCGTTTTTTCCGTCTGCAGAGCCGGTTTCAGGGGCCCGCAACAAATTTATTATATTAACCTTTACATAATATTGATATTTTAACAATTATTTTTGAATTTTATTAATTTGGAATATACAATCACTTCAACTATCAATTTATTTTTAAATTTAGAAATAAATGAACTTGAATAAAATTTTCAAATGTGTTTGTAGTGTATATTCTTATTTTCTCAATAAACGTTTATCTTTTAAACTTTAAGAGAAATATTAATATTATTAATTTTTCTATGTTGTTGATTTATGTCATTTTTAACTATGTTTTATTTTT